AATCTCCGAAAAGTCTAATTATTTCCTTCTCCCCAATGAACAATCACTCCTATAAAAAGCTGTAGATCCCTTTGGAGAAGGCTGGAAGAAAGATTAACAGTATAAATTTTTGGCAGTGTAATCAGGTCCTTCCTCAAGTGCACCCTACCTCCCCTTCTTTCAAGGAGTTTTGGGTCTGTGAATTGGCTCAAGTCTGGAAATTGATTGGTTGGCTGTGACTCTCTATTCTGGTGACTCAAGTTAGTCTGCCATTCACTTGACTTAGAATTCTTCCACTTGCACAAATCAAGTATTTAGTAGATCTTCTATCTATTTCACTCCTAGGGACACCATGACTAAGTAGTCAGTGCCGTAAGTCCATATGAGTCAGATTATTCTGATTCCTGCTTTGACTCCACTGTCCATTATGGGAAACACGCCCACCTTGTCTTTGTTGATTGAGTGCTGCCACTTGGTCCCTACTACCAGGAGGTCCAATCAGCCTTCTGTAGTTAGGTGTCTAAATTCAGTTAGAGCAGTTCCCAGTCTAATCTGACTTACATAAAATAGCAATCACAGCAGTCTTCAAGGATGCTGGGGCTCCCTTCACAAATTTGTTCCTCATCATTGTGGTAAAAAGTATATCCTCTGGGCACTCCATGTGTGGTTCTGTGGGTCTAACCTGATAAATCCACTCTAACACACCAATTTCCCTAAGCCTTTGGATACCTTCTTCTAGAGTATACCAAGGCAGGTCTGGCACTTCAACTTGACTTAGTGTGAGCTACCGCTTAATGCATGCTTCAGCGAACCAACCAAATAAACTATTAGATCCTTTCCTAACCTTTGGAGCTGAAACACTGAACGATCTGTGCTTAGTGGCCCAAATCAATAACTCAGAGTGATCCAACTTTATACTCCTTGCACCATTATTCCACACCCTTAATAGACATTCCCATATTCCCCAGCTTTCTCTTTGTACATATTAGAAAACTCAAGCAGTTCTTCTGGAGTGTAGCGTACCTCCTCCTTGGTCACCTTCTGGGGCTTGCTGGGACTTGAATCTTCTTATAGGTTTAGAAGCAAAAATGGGTGGTGGGGATGTGTTCTGAGAACATTTAGCAACGTCTTGTAAGATGATGCCCCAGGCAGTGACTCAGACTGCTCCTCAGGGGATGACTTAGACACAGGATCTTCAGACACAGCTGGGTTAATCTCATCAGATGGGGGTTGATGACCTAATGGTTTACTGGGGAGGGTGGCTTAGCAGACGAAGATGGAGTAATCTCTTCAGGTGAGAGAGGGCTGGTTCTGTTTGAAGGAGTGATTCAACACAATTTAGGGGCTCAGTGTCCCCAGCTTCCTATCTGCCCATATGCCCCATCCCTAGTTTCAGAATCCCATTTCTTCCCAACCAATGCCCTCACTTTAATTTCAGACCCCATTCAAGGCTGGGATTTCAATTTGTGTCGTTAATTCAGCCACTCTTACGGTAAGACTCTGGGTTTGGTTTTCGGCAGTATCAGCTCTATTACTAAAAGAAATAAGACTTTTTTCCAAGGCACAAGTAACTTTGAGGTCATTTATGAGGCGCTTGAGCTGTGACTCTGAAGCCCCAAGTTCATCTCTTTCTTTCACCACTTTGTTTAGTGAAAGTAGGACCAACCCAGCAGCTTCCTTATACTTCACATTCTGACAAAATTGTAGAAAGGTATCAAACATGCAGTCACCCAGAGCCTCGCCTCTCAATACCTCATCTATTGGTGTGATATTTGGAATATTTGTACCGCCACCTCACACCATAGATTAGCAGTGCCCTCTTTACTACTGGAAGTAGAGTCATCATCATCTTTAACACTAACCAGATTTAAGAACCAATTTAGAAAACTCAACCTTACAATTTTGTTTCTCTAGAACCACTCTGGGCACCAAATGTCTTAGGCTGGGTTCTCTAGAGAAGCAAAACTAGTGAACTGTGTATATAGGTATTTAGAGAGAGAAGGATTGATTTATATAAATGGCTTACATCATTGTAGAGGCTGGAAAGTTCAAAGTCCATGGGTCAGGCTGGAGTCTTCTCATGATTCACACCGCTGCAGGGGCTGGTGAACCCAAGATTGGCAAATAAGACAGCAGGCCTCTGCTTCACATGCTGCAGAGGCTGACGAACCAAGATCAGCATGAAAGATAGCAGGCCACTGGCTAACAGGCTGCAGAGGCTGACAAATCCTAAGATCGACAGGTAAACTCCTAGCTCAAGTCCCAAGAAACTGAGGTCAGCTGAACGGCAACCAGTTGTAGGATCCAGAGTGGGCAAAAGTCCGTGAGCTTTGCCAGAAAGTTCACATAAATTGGGTGCAGACCACATTCCAAAGGAAAATTCTCTCCCAACTGATTTGCTACTCATAGCAGATCTCATCATGGAGGTGATTTCATTATATCAGATCTCACTTTGGAAGTGATTACATCATTACACAGCTGCCAAACTACATCATAACTGCCAAACCACCAAGAATCATGGCACAGCCAAGTTGACACACAACCTTAACTATCACACAAGCCAATTAAAAAATGGGCAAATGACTTGAACAGATACTTCACTAAAAAGGATATATGGAAAGCAATTAACTACATGAAAATTAACTACATCTTTAGCCATTATTTAAATGCAAATTAAAACTGCAATGAGATATCACTACACACCTATCAGAATGGCTAAAATAAAAATGTTTGGCAGTACCAAATATTGGCAAGGATGTGGGGAAATCCTCCAATATGGATCTCTCATATATTGCTGGCAGAAATACCAAACAGTATTGCCACACTGAGAATGTGTGTCAGTTTCTTACAAAATTAAATATACCTTTACCACATAACAAAGCAATCACACTCTTAGCTATGTACTCTAAAGAAATGAAAACTTATGTTCACACAAAAAACCTACACACAAATGTACAACTTTATTCATAATCGCCCAAAACTGGAAACAAATATGCTTCAACAGGTGAATGTAAAAGAATCCATGGTACATCCACACAATGGAACAATACAGATGAATCTTAGATACTATGCTGAGTGAAAGAAGTCAGTCTTCACAGGTCACATCACATCTGATGACACTTATGTGACACTCTGGAAAATGCAAATCTATAAGGACAGAGAACAGACCAGTGTTTGCCAGAGGCTGGGGTGGGGCAACGGTCTGAGGGAATTTTGGGGCGTTCCAGAACTGCTCTGTGTTCTGACTGTGGTGGTGGTTACATGAATCTATACATATGTTAAACTCACAGAACTGCACATTCCAAAAACTTAATCTTACGGTATGCTAATTTAAAAGTAAAAAAAAATGAAAATATATATATTCAAATAAATTTCTTTCAAAAAATGCTTTAAAATAAATTTCTCATGTGGGTTTCCCCCAGAATGGCTGCTCTGTGGGCCTCTGCCACACTGACCTCGATATTCTGTGGGCCTGTTTTTCCATCTCTAATAAGAGAGGATCTGTCTAGGATCAGTGATTTTCATTTTTTTTCCTTCCACACTGTGCCCCTGGACACTTCCATGTGGATGTGGGGGTGGGGTGGGTTTGGACAGAAAGGCCTCCACTGGGCTCTGGACCAACTGGAGCATTTGTGCTTTTGTTTGTCTGTAAACCTCTGGATTAGAATAGCTCGTCTCAAGTCAGATTCCCAGAGACCTGTAGAGTCTGCACAATCCTGGATTCTGGGCCTACCAGTGGGTCCTTCACTTGTACCTTTGACAAGTACACTCCTGGATCCCAGTGGTTAGCTGGCTCTAGCAATCAGTGATTTCAACAAGGTGTTTTAGGGGGTGCTGGAACTGTGCTCCTCCACTCACAACCCCTTGGCTTCACACGGATTGAAGACAACGGGAACTTTGAAAAGGCTTCGAAATCTAGGCCTTCCCTGATGTTGGGTCAAAAACGACCTTAAGCCTTTTTTTTTTTTAACCACACAAGATGATCTTTTGGAAGCACTTTGTAAACACAGATGGGGAAATGCTGTTAGGAGGATGAATGTGCTGATCCCCAAGCAGCAGGCCAAAGAGTATCCTGAGTAACAAGAGCTGCTGTTTACCCGAAGCATATACCAGGTGCCAGGCACTGTGCTCAGGAGCCCTGTAATCCTCACAACTACCCTGCAGAGGAGGGCTGTCGTTGCCTTGACAGGTGAGGAAAGTGAGGTCTCAGGTCACACGGAGAGGTGACAGAGATGGGCCCAGCCTGCAGATCCAGCCCATAACAGGAACCCTGAAGCCTGACATCAGGCATGCCCTCTCAGCATGTGCTCCAGAGAAGGTGGCTAAAGGCTGGCGAGGTTGCTGAGGGCATCTTCGGACCTTGCCATCTAGAGCAGCACTCAAATTTAAAAATTTAGAAGTTTTATATAGTGAATGCTTTCTTTAAAAACTATCTTATGTGTAAGCCCAATCTAGAGAACCAGAGTTGGGCCACTGTGGTTGAAGGTGGAAACAGAGTGGCCTGAGGCCCCCAGGGGTCCAGAAGCATCACTTGAAGGCCACTTATCCAGTAGGCTGGCACTTCCTGTAAGAAGCACAGGTGGTGCCATGACGCTTAAGGCTCTGGCTTTGGGTTCGAAAGAATGAGGTGGTCTTCTGGCGAACTCATTCCTAGGTTAATTGGCCTGGAGGGGGGCTGCAGGATTCCAGACGTGCCACATGTGTTGGGTGCTACTTGCAGGTCCATCTGAGCTGGGGACCTACCTCCTTCTTTTTCTTTGGCCAGGGCCCAGAAGCCATGACCTGCCACTCACAAGCAGAAAACTTATTTTCACCACCTTACATTCAGTGAGCTTGATCTTGAAAGATACAGATTGCAAGGTTAAAAACTACAACAAGCCTCCTTTTTTTCTCACCCTTAGAAAACGCACCATCTGGTTTTTCTGTATCAACCAAAGTGGAATGTTCAACTTCAGATCTTGATGCAGGATCAACAGCAGGTCCACGTCTCTGACCCCGGGGCAGTGGCTGGCTGGGATGGCTCACAGCGGAATCATCAAACGGACCTCCTTTTCATAGACATCAGGGATCATGCCCATCGAGGAGCTGACCATGTGCACAGTGTTTTTGCCAAACAGCTGGAACTCGTAGTGGATGAGCTGTTCCCAAAAGCCACTGTTGGGCCGGATGATGGGCCGGCACGATTTGGTCCACGTATGGGCGTCCAGCAGGGACATGGCATGGTACTTCATGAGGTAGGCAAGGCAGAGGGTGGCCGAGCGGCTCACACCGGCGGTGCAGTGCAGCAGCGTGCGGCCCTGCTTCATCTCTACACTGTGGATGTGGTCGGCGATGGGGTCAAAGAAGTCGCAGAGGCGGGAGATGGGGCTGTCAGCCACAGGCACGTGCATGTACTGGATGTCCTTGTAGCGGGTGTTCACCACCCCCATCGAGACGTTGATGACTGTGGTGATCTGGTGGGTGGACAGCATTAGCTTGTTGTTGGCGGCCGCACCACTGCTGATGTACAGGCTGCTGGTGACCTGTGAGAGGCCGCTGACTGAGGGCTGCCGGAGCTGAACCGGGAAGGCATGTGCAGCCGCTGTCATCCAGGCAGTAGGTCAGCGGTCAGTGGGGAGCAAAGGCTGCATCTTTCTGCTGTGCTGAGTCCATGGAAAACTGCAGAGAGTGAGGGAAGGCTTAGACCGAAGGAGCTCAGTGGGGCCAGCAGGCCAACCCCAGGGATTTCTGGGCCTATAGCAGGATTCCCCGGAGGGTGGTCCTCCGACCACCTGCAGTAAAATTCCCTAGGGAGCTCATTAAAAATGCAGCTACATCACCTCTCCGCAGACCCACTCAGTCAAACTCTTAGGGTGAGGAGAAGGATTCTGCATTTTCAGCACACTTCACAGGAGGTCTCATGTGCAGTGGCCAACAGGACCAAGGTCAGGCCCTAGCCTGGCATCCCTGGGGGCCTCACATTTCTACTTGGGCAGGTTGGCTTGTGTCCCTCAGCTGTGCCCTGGCTTGACTCTCCATCTAGCTCAAACAGCCCCCTCCCCACCTCTCTTCAAAATTCTCTGCTTCCTTCAAGCCTCTCTAAGTGGGAACCACCTGCACAGTCTCCCTCCTCAGCCTCCTGAATTCATGCCCAAATCAGAGGGAAGGGTACCAGATCCTGCCCACCATCCCAAGGGCCATCTCTTTGAAGAGACAGAATGTGCCCATGTGAAACAGGTATCAAATTACATGTTAAAGTCTACATGTTAAACATGCTTCTGCACCTTGCTGCTAAGGGTCTAGGAAGGGAGTAGCTGAAGGCTTCCTGGAGGAGGTGAGCATCAGGGGACCCAAAGAAGCCCCAGGGGCAAGTACAGAGGGGCAGGGGGCCTTGCTAGAAAGACACTGCCTGCACTACCTAAAGAGGGGCAAACCCCTGCCTTCTCAGAACCCCAGGCCTCTCACTCTCCCGGACTTGAACAAAGCTGCGAAAAATAGCACATCCTCCTAAGTTTTACGGGAATAGGAGCATCTGGCTTTAGATCACACCTCTCAAGGCCAAATGGCAGTCCTCACCAGGTACACACAAATGAGACAAAGTTTTGTTTCCCTGCTTAATAAAATATTCCAGTGGCTGCCCATTGTCAGGGTAAGACTGAGCTCCTCAGATCAGCTGTCAAGGCAATTTGTGACCTGGCTCCTGCCCATCTCTCCAGCCTGACTAGCCATTCCCACTTCCGGAAGAGCCCCAGCCAGGCTAAGCCACCTGCGGTGCCTTATAGATACCCTGTCCTATCTGGCCCAAGGCCTTTGCCTCTGCTACATTCTCCATCCAGAACCCCCTTTCCTTAGAAGCCTATCTGATCCTGATCAGTAGAGGAACAGAGAAGGCTGAGGAGCCTTGGGCTCTTAGCCCAAAGGTCACTTCTTTGGGGAAACTTCCGGGACAACATCCCTCCCCACCCCCACATTTGACAGGATCCCTTGCTCCAGGCTTTCTTAGCCCTGTGCGCTCTCCTGCCTAACACTTACTAAGGCTGCGGTTTTGCCTTCTTTTGTCTGATTATTTGATTAATGTCTGTCTCACCAGGTGACCATGAGCTCTATTGGGATATGACCACATCGCCTTCATTTCCATTGTATCACCAGTGCCAAGCTCCATGTCCCCAAAAGTAGGTGCTTGATAAATATTTGTTGAATAAAGGCATGACTCCAATCATCACAACTCTACTTTCCAATTGAGAAGTTTTCTGGAAAGCAGGAGTTCTCTTGCCATATTTCACTACAATTTCAGGCAGGGGTTAGGTGAGGGTGGAGGTGGTTCCTGGGCTGCTGAAGAGGGAGGCCGAAAGTTGCATAGGCAAATCCTACCTGCCAATGTCCAGAGTCAAATGCATCAGGCTCACCCCAGGAAGGGCAGATGGGACTGGTAACCCAAAGGTCACATAAGGGACAGTTTACTCAGTTGGAAGACTAAATGTTAAGGGATGTTCTGGATCCTTACCATCAGAAAACCCTGAGAGAAGTGGACTGAGGGTCCCAGTAAGAAACAGGAATAGAGAAGACTGTTCATTATAACAACAAAAAGTCTGCTGAGGAGAAGCTGTTCTTGAGGGAGAGGGTAACAATGGGTGGACAGCCATTTTCATGTTTTGCTTGTTGTTAGCTGCACTTGAATTGATTCTGACTCATAGTGACCCCACATATGCAGAGTAGAACTGCTCCATAGGGTTTTCAAGGCTGCGACCTTTCAGAAGCAGTTGACAGGCCTGTCTTCCAAGGTGTCTCTGGGTGGGTTCCAACCACCAATCTTTCAGATAGTAACTAAGCACTTAACCACTTGTGCCACCGAGGGAGTCCTTATTTTCATGTTGTTGTTAGGTGACGTCCAGTTGGTTCCAACTCATAGCGACCCTACGTACAACAGAACGAAACACTGGCCAGTCTCGCACCATCCTCACAATCGTTGTTATGCTTGAGCCCAATGTTGCAGCCACTGTGTCAATCCATCTCACTGAGGGTCTTCCTCTTTCTCGCGGACCCTCTGCCAAACATGATGTCCTTGTCCAGGGACTGGTCCCTCCTGATAACATGTCCAAAGTACATGAGACAAAGTCTCTCCATCCTTGCTTCTAAGGAGCATTTTGGCTATACTTCTTCCAAGATAGATCTGTTCATTCTTCTGGCAGTCCATGGTATTTAGTATTTTTCGCAAACACCATAATTCAAAGGCATCAATTCTTCTTAGCTTTTCCTTATTCACTGTCCAGCTTTCGCATGCATATCAGGTGACTGAAAATATCATGGCTTGAGTCAGGCACACCTTAGTCCT